GAGAGAGAGAGAGAGAGAGAGAGAGAGAGAGAGAGAGAGAGAGAGAGAGAGAGAGAGCAGATAAGTCCCCAATACATTGCGGACAGGCGCGCAGCACACCAGACGTGCGCAGATCACCGCGCAGCGTGCACTGCACACCCAGATGCGCGGCGTGCGCCGGTTCGTGCGCACCTCGGGTCCGCGCACAGCGCGCTGCGCAGCGCACAGTGCCGGTGCGCCGCAAGTATGGTATGACTATATATCGTCAAATCATCAAATATATATATTTATTTTTTAAGTTGGTAAAGAATTTGTTTGTGACCCTGAGGCAAAAGTTGTTCAGTTTATTTTTCTGCATAACATAGATTTTTATCATTTTTTAACTTTTTTTTCTTATTTTTCGGATTGATTTGGACAGGGGTTCTGCCAAGAACTTACAGCCGTGGTTATTGATTGGTTTGTCGTTAGCAGATTTCGAACCTGAAACTTGTGCTTGGGTACTATTTTCGTTCGCAGTTATGTGTACCGCACAGTTATTGCTTTTTTCGTCCCTGAGGCCCGGATTTTTCAGGCCTGGAACCCCGATCTCGCTAATCGGCCCCTTATGTTCGAGGGTGATTTTTACCAGGATTTGAACCTGGAACCTTGTGCTTACTGCCTGAAGGACTTTATGCAGTCGCTCACTATTCGGTCTACTGAACATGGAATACGGATTTGAACCGGACCCTTTTTGTGACACTCCTTTTAGCGGTTCGTGTCCTTGAAGCTCTGACCTGCCGCAACAGGTGTGGTTTTGGGACTATGATATATTGGAACCTGTTCCATGGTCCTTTTTTGGGAATTTGGTACCAGTAGCTGGGACGTGAGTTGTTTTGGGACTATGATATATTGGAACCTGTTCCATGGTACCTTTTACAACTTCTTTGGAAATTTCCTACCAGTAGCTGGGAGTTGTAGCTGTGTCGCTTAGCCCATCGGAGACTATATGTAGATTGATGGGTAATGATTTAACGTCTCGGGTCGGCCACAGGGCGACTATCATTACTACAGCGTAATGATGATAGAAGTCCAGTGGAGGTTATGTGGTAAGACGACTGATCTTGGGTTTGACGGTATGACCTGGCGGAACTCGCTTGGTGGTTTCGGAACTCGTTAATTTCCCATTACAACTCGGTGACTCGTGTACATCTCTTCGTGTCTGCATTTCTCCATCCATATCGCCTTGCACGGCTGGGCCGCTGGGGAAAACAAGGTGACCCGGCCGGTCTAGCTGGTAGCCTATGATTTTTTTGAATTTTTTATTTTTTTTGGCTTGGACCTTCTTTGGTCCTTGCATGGCCAGGGCCACCCGGGCAAACAAGGTGACCCGGGTGGCGCGGCTGGTAGCCTAGCTGCACAGAGGATTTTTTTTTTTCTTTCTTATTATAGATATTTAGATGTGAACGCGCACAAATGTAATGGGTCCGGCGGGAACGTGGAACGGGCCCAGCTGGAGCCCTCAAAGCATTGCATACAGGGCCTGCGTGGAAAATGCAACTGCGAGTCAATAAGCGGAGTGGTACCAGGTGTGGAATTTGCGGTGCAGGTCATAATGGTAATAGCCTGATAGGCTTGCTTTTTCCCTATCGTAACAGATCTAACGTCTGTGGTTTGACGTTTGAGGATGGTGCTCAGCAGGAAGAGAGAATGTGTGAAGGTGAAGGTGAAGGTCTTTGGCCTCTCTTCCAAACATTGAAAATGAAGATACTTGTGGACATCTGGAAAAAAAATGGAATGATAGGATTGTGATACAGAGAGAAGATAGATTAGCATGTTCCCTCTCCGATCGAGGACGAAACGCACAAAAATCAGGAAATGGTCGAAATTGGGAAAAAAGAAAAGAAAAAGAAGATCCTGTTGGAACTCCTCCAGATCCTGCCAGAAATTATCGAGATCTTATACTGGAACTTAAGCATATGGTTGTCTTCAAGTCATGCAACGACTGAAGTCTATCATTTGTTTATCATTTGTTTATCATTTGTTTACAACTACGTATAAAGCATTCCAACTTGCTAAAAAAAAAATGGCGAAGTCCCAGCAAGACAGATGTGACGAAAACAGAGATGCAGACTGGTGGACATTTCGAGTCAATAAGCGGAGTGGTCAGGCGGAAAAGAGGAAGGTGGGGGGGATCGGGTGAAGCAGAGAGAGAGAGAGAGAGAGAGAGAGAGAGAGAGAGAGAGAGAGAGAGAGAGAGAGAGAGAGAGAGAGAGAGAGAGGAGTTTTCAGTGTGTGATTGCGAAGGGGGTTGAATACTGATCTGAAACGTAAACTTGGGCACATAATCCCAGAGGAGTGTTTTCCTGGTTTTAAAATGGCGACTGACCGCTTTGAGATATTATCTTTGAAAGTTTGCACTGACCGGGCCCAGGTACATTACTAAATTCAGAAGTATGCTCATTCATGATTCATGACATTCCCTCCCCATCGGAGGTTGAGCTCGGGTCTGTATTTCAACAGCTCATGGGTTTACCGACTGAGCTTTACGCTGGAAAAGGAGAGTTCTCTATAAATTCAGCGTGACCAACTGGCCTCGCTCAGTTTGTACACCCATGAACTGCTAAAATACACACCCAAGTTCGAATCCCGATGCAACCGCATGACCAGAATAAAATAATTCTGAGTTACTTGGGCCCGGTCACTTGAATGGTGATATCTCAAGGCCAGTGTCCTTTAAAAAAGAAGAAATAAAAGAGAATTTTTTTCAAAAGGGGGGCCGCAACACGCTGTGCAGCAGTGATTGATTATCGGTGTTTGTTGGATAGTGAATTAAGTTTCTCCTTTTTCCTTTTTTTTTTTCTTTTTTTTTTAATTGAACCATTTTTCCATGTGTGATTGGAGGGAATTTGGAGCTGGTACGTTTTCCCAGGGTTCTGCAGGTTGTCAGAATGTCCGTCGATGCATCTGCACTGTTTTCTTGAAAAAGTTCAGATGCTTATTAAGTTGTTATTATTAAATTAACGGTGTGTGCGTGTGTGTGCGTGTGTGGCAGGCTCTGTATTTCTCAAGTGGTGATCTAGCCCCATCAGAATATCATCACTATGGATTAGCCTCTCCGATATACACCCACTTTACCTCGCCAATTAGGAGATATGCCGGTAAGTGGGCACTTTTTTCAAGGTTTTTTAACTTTTTTTAAATAGAAAAATTATTTAAATTAAATAGTATTGACCTGATTCCGATGGGTTCATAGTTTAATGTGAGGCTTCAGGCCCCGGCAGCGGCGGCAGGCCTCCCCTTCAGCAGGGGGATGATTGGAAAATTCAGGCCAGGCCCGAAAGAAGGCGGTGGCAGAAAATGTGTCCACCCGCCCTGAGTGAAGGCTGCCGTGAGGCAGTTCGAAGGTAGGCCTGACGCAGCCTCTGTGACTCACCGCTAGGCCGAGCCTCAATTTATTATTATTATTATCAGGGTTACCAGCCCGTACGTACGGAGGCCCCCGGGCGGACCTCCGTACGTTCGGGCGTTCGGGGTCCCGTACGGGGCCCGAACTCGATGACGTTCGGCCCCCGCCAAAAAATATTTCGGGGCCTAAAAATATTTTTTTTTTCTGAATTTTTTTTTGTGAGTTCTCTACGACGTGCCTATAAATTTTCAAGTCATTTGGCTTAGCCAAATAAGAAATAAAAATCGCCAAAGATGGCGGTGTCAAAACGTGCTCGCCCACGTTTTTTTTCATTTTTGACTTTTTGTTTTCACTTTAGTTCGGGGTCTAAACAATTTTATTATTTTTTGAAACTTTTTTAGTGGGTTTTGTATTATGTGAAGTACACATCTGTAAATTTTCAGGGCATTTAGCTATGCCAAAACAAAATGAAAAATCGCCAAAGATGGCGGTGTCGAAAACATGCTCGCGCACTCACTAAATTTAATTCTCTTT